ACTTTTTCTGTGAAAAGAGCATATGCATCATACATGCGTTGTTCAAATCCCTCTTTCCCCTGCTAGGAATAATGGGATAAGGAGAACTCGCTTTTTATTCAGCCCTGCTTAGGTTCAGGGCAAGGCGAGCTGATGAGAAGAAAGCCACTGAATGCCTAGTTTCCACTTACTCTGAATTTCAGGATATTTCATCATGAGCAGAAGGCCCCAGCGCAAAGTGGTGGCCGTCGTATCCATGCCAGCTATAAACAGATTTCTCACGACCTCAATTAAGTTTTCATTATCAAAAAATGTATTGCCCTTTCCATTCTCCTGGAAAAATAAAGCAATAATGCCAGTTAAATATTCAAGAACAAATTTTTTCATTTTGGAAAACAGAGAAAAAAATTCATAGACAAATGTCAGGGAGGGATTAAAAGTGTAAAGCAGGAGGAAGATTTGAGGGAACGCCTTCGGAAGACTGTAATAAGCTGAGTCTTGAAATACTGAGTGCTTGGACTGACTCTGCTGCCCAGAGGAACACACAGTCAAGTCAGCAAGGTTAATTTCAGTGTTAACAAGAATATCTTGAAATATAGGGAGCAGTCACTGTGTTAACCCAGGTGATTAAGTCAATTTTTACATCCCCTGGGCCATGGAGCAGAGCATATCAAAGAATTTGGGTATCCATGAAGTATGTGTGTACCTACCAGTGACACAGCGCTTTGTGTTGTTCCTGTAAATCACCAAGCACATATGAAAGATGCCTGTGACAATTTTATCTCCTTGCAGAAGAAACTGCACAGACTTTCAACCCAAGCACAATTTTTTGAAGCACTTTTCTCAAGCTAGATCTTTGCTGAAGAACAGTTGTTTAGATATCAAGCCTTGAAAGAAAAGCGAGGTGATATGAGGAGGCTGCTGGCATTCAATTACCTCTTGTTGTCTGACAAGAAAAGCGTCAATGAAGCTCCTCTGGTCATTTCTGTCCAGGACTTTGAGGTACTTTGTGAAAGTATCCTTGATAAAATCATTGAATACTTCTGCATTCTCAAGAAAATTTTTTTTGTCCTTCAGGAAGAATCCAAGGATGGGGAACATATTGTACAGCTGTAAGATGCATGGATGCAGAGGAAGAAAAAGCAGCTACTAAGTAGGTGTACAACTATTGAACAGTATATATCAACAAAAACCCGTGCAGAAAATACTATACACCCTTACAATCTTGTCACAAAACACTCTTTACCCACTCTCTTCCCTGCCCAACTAAGTAAAATTGATAAAATTTACTCTCTCTAATATATAAATCACACTAGCTGATGGCCTAGAAATCCCATGTTCATGTGTATGTCTTGGACATAATTTCCTACCTCTCCACTCTTAGATTTCTTATCCCTCTCTCCCCAACTTGGTTGGAGTTGGGTGTCTCAAGAGATGTTTACAATTCAAGAGACAGTTGCAGACAATTCCCCAGTTTTGACACTGATCTTTGTACAGGAGATAGGAAATAAAGGGCAACTTCTATCACCTGGGGACACTTTCCTTTTTTGGTATAGCATGTTCTTCAATTCTTCTTCATGAAGTGAATCTACGCTTGCCCAGACTAAGAGAAACCCATATGCAGTACCAAAGGTCTGTTTCCTGCCACTTCAGGATGCATTTGTCACATACAGATAGATGAATGTCAGTGATCAGGAGTGGAGTAGATGCACTATTATCACTCTGTGTTGTGCATGATTATTTTTTTTTAAAGAGAGTCAGTCAAACATATCAATTACCGACACAGATGGACTTCCAAAAAGCTTCATATTTTCATCCATCAGTGACACAAGTCTTTTGAATGTGGGGTCTTCATAGTCAAACCGCTTTCCAATCAATATGGAAACAATGACATTAGCAATAGCAGAATTCATCAGCTGAGTCATCTCAAGGGGCTTCCCTAGCAAAGGAAAAGATGATGCAAACAACACAATCAGTGGTTAATGTAATCAATTAAAATATAACAATAGCATGTAGAGCGTCATTGAAGCTGTGGGTGCCCCATCAGTGGAAGAAATCAAGGCCAGGCTGGATGGGGGTTCTGAGCAACCTGGTCTAGTGAAAGGTTTCCCTGCATTTCCCAGGGAATTTGCAGTAGATGGTCTTTAGGGGTCCCTTCCAACCCTAGGCACTCTATCATTCTGTGATTCCATTCTAAGTCCTGCTATTGGTAACTAACCTATTGACAAGTAATCCTGGATGATGCTGTAGAAATGTATAAATGTATCTTGTGTCTCCTACTTTCGAGACATACCCCTTTATGGGCAATCAATTTTTTAGTCTAGATGTACGATCTTGCAATTGCCTTCTACTTTTCTCCTCAATCAAAGTCTGTCGTTTATGGAGGTGCTGTACATGGCATAATAAGTCCTTTTCCTCAACTGTATTGTTTTGTATCAAACTCTGTGTTTGACTTCCAGTACTTCAATAAAAGTTTTCATTTACACACCAGGCAATTGCCAGGTAGAGACGACAGACACAACTCATGTGTACTCATCACAGCACTGCTTTTGGAGAATGATGTATCTCTGACAGAGCTCTGTATCTCTTCTTCCTTGATCCTTGGTATTCCTGAAAAGACTTTCTGAGAAAAGTCAGGTACATGCTATCAAATTAAGAATCTCCCTACCTTTCTGTGACTCAATTACATCTGCCAGGTATCCATACTCTTCTACAACATGATCTTCTATGGCCTTCTTTCCCATCCCAAAGTCTCGTAAGGTTGTAAGAGTAAATCTTCGCATCACTTTCCAGTGTTCTCCACGAGCAAATATAAGTCCTGAAATGGAAAATTAAAACACATACGTAAGAATTTAAGCAAAGATTCTTCATCTATCCTGTGATGGTTTTACCCTGATGGACTGCTGAGGTTCATCACACTTCTCTTTCACCTGCACCTCTTGAAAAGGACGGGGGCAGAAAATATGAGAACAGCCCACTCACCTTTTCCTTTTCCTGTTTTTTCTAGGATTGGTATTTTAGGCCTCCCAGCAAATGCATCTGCATGATTCACCAAAGCTTCCTTCACTGTGTCATATCCTGACAGCACCACCACTTTCCTCATTCCCAGCTGAACTGTGAAGACCGGGCCATACGTTTCAGAAAGCTAGTAGAATGAAAAGAAAGAGGAAGAGGAAGATGTTTGGCAAAGCAAAAAATACTTGTTATTCAGCAGGCTCAACGTTCTTATTCCCACACGGCATTGGCTTTGCATTTGTTGTCCAAAATGTTGAGAATTTATGATGCAAGTGTTGGAGCTGCTGTGAATTAAAAGAATCACAATAGGATCTGTAATCCTTAATTGGGTATTTGAATAAAAGATTTTCAGTGGGCCTAATTGTGTCTACTACACTGATTCTGTCACTCATTGGAAATGCATAGCTAATCAAAATGAGATTGATTTCCAAGCTGGTAATACATCAGGGCACAAGACCTGCCAGAAACCCTTAGGTTTGCTGTTCATGGCTTTGATGAAGAGTTTGGGAAGGGATGCCCAAAATCCTAAAATATCTGACTGCCATACACTATTTTAACCATAGAATTATAGAATCACTCAGGGTGGAAATGACCTTAAATATCACTGAGTCCGGCTATGACCTAACCATACTACCCTAACTCACAGCCCTCTGCTAAATCATGTCCTTGAGCACCACATCCAAATGGATTTTAAACACATCTAGGGATGGTGACTCAACCACCTCCCTGGGCAGCCCATTGCAGTGCTTAACAACCCTTTCTGTAAAGAAGTTTTTCCTTCTCCAACCTAAACTTTCCCTAGCAGAACTTGAGGCCATTTTGTCCTCTCACCTGTCACCCGTGAGAAGAGACCAACCCCGCTCCGCTGCAGTCACCTTTCAGGTACTGGAAGAGAGCAATAAGGTCTCCCCTCAGCCTCCTCTTCCCCAGCCTAAACTGCCCCAGTTCCTTCAGTCTCTCCTCATAGGCCATATTCTCCAAGCCCATCCCTGGACTTGTTGCCCTTCTTTGGACCGGCTCCAGCACCTCCATGTCCTTTCTGTAATGAGGTGCCCAAAACTGAACACAGCACTCAAGGTGAGGCCTCACCAATGCCAAGTAAAGTAGCAGGATGACTTCTCTAGTCCTGTTCACCACACCATTCGTGATACAAGCCAGTACAGTCCCTTTGCAGCTCAGAAGGCAAATGGGATCCTGGGCTCCATCAAAAGGGGGATGGCCAGCAGGGACAGGGAGGTGATAGCTCCCCTCTACTCTGCT